TTCTTGGATGGACTCAGGGCTGTGGGGGAAGTTGTGGAATCTCAGAATTCCGCCGAAGCTTAAGTTCTTCATGTGGCAGGTCATGAACAGAATTTTGCCGACTGTGGAGGCATTTCTTGTGCGTGACATTGAGGTGGAGGAGCGGTGCCCGGTGTGTTGGCATGAGTTGGAGGATTTGGAGCATTTGTTCCTCCATTGCCCGGTGGCGAGGGATTTGTGGGCGGATTCGGGGTTAGAGGATGTTCGAGCTAGGTTGCCAGTGGAGAATGTGGGCGTGATGGTGCGTAGGCTGCTGGACGAGGTGGCCGATGAGGGAATCCTGATGCGGGTCATCTCTATGCTCTGGAGGGTGTGGAAGTCTCGCAACTGGGTTGTTTTCGATGGATGCCAATATCAGAGGGTGGTTTTGCGTAACCAATGGTGTATCCAGGTCGACGAATGGCGGAATGCGAATGGTGCGGGGGAAGGGAGCCACAGGGATCACAGGCAGGGGGCGGTACGTAGGCGGGATCTGTGGCCGCAGGATGTGTCTTGGGTGTGCTCCTTTGATGGGGCAGTGCGTGAGGGATCTCATTCGGCGGTGGGGGTGGTGCTGCAAGGGCCGGATGGGGTGGTCGTCAGGGCGATGGGAAGGGGGTTGGCTGGTCTTACTGACCCAATGCTTGTGGAGTTGATGGCGCTTCGGGAAGCGATATTGTGGTGTCGGGCGATGGGTATCCAGGATGTCTGCTACCAGGGGGATGCGAAGGTCGTGATTGACAAAGTGGTGGCGGGGTGTACGTGGGATTCCAGAGGGGGTGCTGTGTTACAGGAGATTCAAGGAATGCTGGCGGATGGTTTAGGGGAGAAGCTTCGATTTGTAGGCAGGGATAACAATAGGGTAGCCCATAGGGTGGCTAGGAAAGCCCTTTCTTTGTTTCCCGCTCTTATTGAGGGGTTTGATTTTTGCGTTTGGCTCCATTCGGAGATGTAATCGTTTATGATCTTTAGATCTTGGTAATGCAAGCTATCTTTTGTCAAAAAAAAAAAAAATTTATTTTATTAATTATTTGTGATTAACACGTGCTATCCACAATCAGTGAAAATTTTATATCTTTTCCCTACTTTCCGGCTTTCTCCCAAAGGGCGCCCTTAATAACTTAATTAGATTTCATTTTCAACAACAAATCTATGACATGATTAGCCCCACAATCTATATAATTATGTACTAATTACCTAACATTGACTCCAACTACTCTGCAACTAGTAAAAATCGTAATCCTAAGGTTCAGCTATTAGAATCCACTATTAAAATCCCACTTTACTTTCTACTAATCTTGTATGGACGTTAAAGGATCGAGTTCATTTGTACCACTTAATTATAAAACACAAACATATAATATCCTTATAGCCCTATAAAAAATACAAGAAACAAAACCCATTGAAAATCAAAATGATATATAATATATATGGTGACTTCTACGTTGCATTGACATGCAATATATTATGCACACACTTATAGAATTAGATTTAAGACATCAAATTTTGAATTTTAATTGGAAGAATTAGTATAATATGATGGTATAGCATAGCATGACAAGTGACAACTAATCAATACATTACCCTAATTCCTAGCTATTCAATTCTAAACCCTAGCCCTAAGCTCCAAACTGTAAACCCTAAATTCATAAACCTAAATTCGTCAAATCATAATAGTGTTGATTGAATTTATACAAATTCATATATTTTCTTGTCTATCATATACAAATGACGAGTGACATCGTTTCGACAAGCATTGCTTATTCAAAATAACAATTATGAGACTGGTAGACAAGATACATAAAAAAAATGAATGCACTGAAAATAAAACAATATATTTAAATTAAATTATATTTTTCTAGACACCACAATATTCTTAATAAGAAAACAATATCTATCTTCTACAAAAAAAAACTATCTATCCCAAATTCACTAAAGAAATCCCCACAACTACGATATTTATAAACTGCCACTTTTAAGGTTTATATTATCTTTAAATCACATATAATATCATCTTGCTTGTCCTCCAATGAAAATATAGATAAATAAACAAAGATTCTAGGATAGTTAGCCGTTCAAGTACCTTTTTCGTTTTCTATCATATACATAACATAGGCTAGGTTTCCCAATATTCTAAAAGAATTGGCATGTCGTCTGTTTAGGAGGTAGACATTTTTTTATCCCGTAAAAGAGAAAAAGATTTACTATTTAACCTTTTAAATTGTTGTTGGTGGTCGGCTGTAAAAAAAAATCTATTGCATCAATTTTCCAAAGAGCAATAAATACACTATACAATAAAATAAACCAGATATGCTGTCTGCCGAGTGCTGACAATCTCAAGTCCTAGAATTGCTGCACACATACCAAATAAAAAATTAAGGGTGGTTTGGATGGGATTTAATTATGGCTTGGGTTAGAGTACACAATTCTATAATTTTAATTTTGTAGTCTTACAAAATCATAATGAATGGTTGAGATTGAGAGAAAAATTATTCAATGTCAATCTTTGTAGGTGGTATATAAGAAGGGAAAATAGGAGAAAATGGAGAGGGCTGATCGGATTTGGGTGGCAATTGACCGGATTTTGGGTGGCTGGCGTTGATACTCATTTTGATATTTTTTGGAACAATTTTTTTTTGGTGATAATATCACTGTCATATCACGATATTATCTAAAACAGTGATATGGTATTATAGTGTTATACTATTGGTAACCTAAAATTTTGCACATAGTTAACCTAGAAATACTAAAGGAGAGAGAAGAAGAGTAGTCGGTTGATGGGGATGATAACGACAGAAGAAGAAATTTTCGACGAACTCAAGTGAATAGAGAGAACTGGTTTGCGAAATTACACGATGCCCACAAAAGAGGAGGAGGAATCATCGACAACTGTCAACATGGTTCTAAAAAGCGCGCTTAGCCTCTCGCCTAGGCACAAGTCATAAGGAAAATGCCTCACCTTGGCATAAAGCAACAGAGAAGGCGTCATGTCATGATTATGTTGTTGCCTTGGTGGTGCCTAGTCAACATAGAGTTGCGCCTTAAAATGATGTCGCGATGTCTATATCTACCTTTTGATATGATACTAGGGAGGTCTCTCTTGATTTCTCTATAATTAGGATAGGAAATAGTTAGAGACCACCATCTTTAGAGTGACTTCTTCTTTATTTTTTGTGCTTCTTCGCTCTCAATCTACTTCACTATTTCCAGCTTCTTCTTCCTTATTTCTCCACTCTATGTTTATGTTTTACCATGTGTTGTTGATGAAAGGTTTGAAATAAGATGTATATGCAATGATATTGATTCAGAAACTTGTGATTCTAGACAAATTTGAGATATTTTGCTATGTTTACATCTAACGTTTAGACATGTCTAGGCGACGCCTAACCATGCTAAGCGTAAGGCAGAGCTTCAACACCAGCATTACGCCTTGGCGCTTTCTTGAACCTTGACTGTGAATGATTCCTAGCAGAATTTCAATGGATGTTTCAAACCGACAGAGGATACCGGTGATGGAAGCAGAGGTGGAATTATTCTTAACCAGATGATTCAATCCCCCGGTGTTGGTTATTGAATTAGCAGATTTATCAGAGGAATGGAAGGGAACCATGAGAGGCAATACAAATAGAGTTGGATGGCAAAAATAAAAAAGAAGGATAAAATTGAAAAAAACAAAAAATATTAAGGGATTTCAAAATAACCCTGATTTTCAAAATTTCTCGAACCTAAAACCCATATTTTTGAAGCCCTTCCTAGTGTTATTGTGTTAAAATCCACAAAAATGCGAAATTTTGTTGCAATCTCTCATATAAATCCCATCCATACCACCCAAGAAGTGGAATTATGAGAACTCAAACCCGGATTTTCCAGTTTATCTTTTGCTCCTGTATTTGTCAGGAACCAATTGATCCCAATAACTCGGGTTGTTGGAAGATATTCAATCGTGAATCATGTACCGTTTACTAACACCCCACTTCAAACTCAAGCCATTCAGATAGGCTTGGACTTTGGACAGACATAGGTCCGGAGACCGGTCGCTTAACAGAAATAGATGGGATCACCGAGAATCAAACAGAAGACCTCATGGTCACAGAAAGACTCTGCTACCATGTCAAGAACCAGTTGATCCCAATAACTCGAGTTGTTGGGAGAGATTCAATCGTGGATCATATACCGTTTACTGACAGTATTGAATATAGGGTAAAATACATCATCCCTTAGTTGAACGGGAGTATTTTAATTTATATATTGATCAGTAGTATAATATGCTTAAACTAATCCATCCAATGCCTTTAAAAAAACCTCCAACCATAGAAATCATTGCAACCAACTCATTGTGCCTTGAGCACAGTCCCACATAAAAATTAAATACTAATACAAAGTCAGATCAAGCAAGAACACCAATATAAAAATTAATCGTGGATTGTAAATCGTATTAGAGACCAAATAGCCGAGAGTGCGATAACAAAATGGTATAAGACCATACTGACATGAACATGGAGTATACAAAAATCTATTGCAAATCATGGAATTCATCACATAATATTCTAGCTAGCAGGTAACAGTTGTAAATAAACCAAGCAAGTCCAGAAAACGAGAGAGAAGAAAGAAACATGCATATATAAAATATTCTCATAGCTAGTAGCCAATGCATATAGTAGTGGACTAAACCAGGAAATAAATTAAAAGCCAACAAACATTAATTCAGTCATTATATATGCAGATTAATTTTAAGTTACGAAAATAAAGAGAAAAACCACCAGAAATCCTAACAAAGGAGACTTTGAGAATTTGATTTCTTCCTTCCAAAAGAGAGTCTTATTATTAACCACCATAGGATTATCACCACCTAAATTGACAATCCTTCCTACTACTTCCTCCCTTCCCTTTTTTTTACTGAACCTGCAGATAAAACACTACTTACACACACATCACAGCAAAGCAAAGCAGAAGAACCTGATCTCTCTCTTTCTCTCCTTCCCTCAAAACGGCGCCGGCCGCCCTCCACCTCCGCCGCCATGTGGCCACCCATACCCTTCATGATTCAACTGTCCCCCATTCGGCACCTGTAGATTGGGCGGCAAATTGTAAAACGGCATCGATGCAGCCCCACTAGGATCCCCCATCCCTCCTCCACCGTCGCCGCCGCTCTTCCCCATCTGCTGCCCGCCGCCGCCCGCCTCCTCCTCCTCCTCCAGCGGCAGCCTCTCGTAGGTGGCATTCGAGAACGTGGCCGCGATCACCATGACGGGCCCGCTCGCGATGAGCGGGCCCACCACGCTCCCTCCCACGACCTGGCCCTGCCCGGCCGCCAGGTAGATGGTGAGGCCCGTCGCACCGGGCGGGGCGGGGCCCGGGAGGAACGCCCCCATCAGGGAAAGGATCTCGAACCTCCCGGGCAGGGTGGCGGGGGGCGACCCTGCCCCAGCGGAGGGCTGCTTGATGGTCACGTTGGTCACCATCCCGTTGCCGCTCAGAACGCAGACCCCGCGCTGCCGCTTCCTTGCGAAGCAAGCCAGGCTGTCCGTGATGTCGGTGCCGCTCGCGATCTCCATGACGTGGCTCTTGAGCGCGTTCGGGCTGTCCCTGGTGACGAAGATGGGCGGCTTCGGCTTGTTCTTCGACCCCGGGGGCCGGCCCCTGGGACGCCGGGTCGCGGCCTCGATTGCGCCCTCCTTGGGCTCGTCGCTGTGGTCACGGTCGTCGTCGTGGGCGCCGGACCCGCTCTCCGTTGCGGCGTTGGCGGCGTTGGAGATGGAGATGCCGAGATCTGGTTGATTCTGGAGCTTGGTGGAGGTTGTGGATGCGTCACCCATCCCCGCCAGCCCGACTTGTCCCGTCCACCAAGGGTTCGACATATTGCCCCCAGTGAAGAGGAAAAAGAACAACAGCAGCTCCTTTTTTTCTGGGTCGGATCGACGGAGGATTGGGGTTTAATTTATTGTGGGATTTAATCCGAATTGGAGTCGGAATTGGGATTGACAGCTGGGGGAGGAGGTAGGAAAGGAATTCGGAGTTTGAAAAGGAAGGGAAAAAGAGATTCCTCCCGGCCAATTGGTTTATACTCCTTTTACAGATAGGAAGGAAGAAGAACAAGCAAAAGCAAAAAAAAAGAACCCAAGTAGTTATGCAGCTACAGAATCAAACCGTTTCTCCGGCGACCCACAGCTGCCTGCCCGTTTGAAATCGAGATCAGTAGACGACGCCGGCGGGGGGTTGTTGGCGCTTTCGTTTGGGTTCTTCCGGCCAGGGAAGCGAAAGAGAGAGAGAGAAGAGAGGATGGAGTGCTTGGAGGGTGTGAGATTGAATATTTTTGGTTGGAGAGAGAGAGAGAGGGAGGAGGGGATAGATTAGTTTAATCTAATATATAGGGGTATGATTTGGGAATATAAAACAGACGATGTTCTACGGGAGCGGGGGGATAGATTAGTAATTAATAATGTCTGTTTGAACATAATTTTGGACGGGTTGGGCGGAAATTTAGTAATGGTTGGAGAATGGATTAGAATAATTGGTCGTGTTTTCTCGGAAATTAGGGTTTTCTTTTTCTTTGTGTGTCTGGTACTGTGGGGTCTGGTTTTTGTCGTTTTTCTTTGCGGAGACTGATTTATCCTAATGAGTAACTTTAAGTATAGCTTAGTGTAATTATATACTTTGCTGTGATTCAGTTTGTTTTCTACGCCTCTTTTCTTAACTTGGACAAGTTCGTGTTTTCATTGCCGATTAGAGACTAGTTAAATTGATTAAGATAGAGTGACAATTTGACAATAATAATGGGAGCTAGTCAAACATTAGCTTATATGTATGTGACCAACTTAGTTGGAATAAATTATATTGTAGCACAATAATTTGGGAGCGATTTCCCTGCATAATTTAAGGTTTTATAACCATACATAACATTTACTTACCATTTTCGGAAGACTACTAGCGTTCAACCAATAAACTTTAACGAGTTAATTCTCTTTTGTTTAAGTCAAAATTAAAAAACATTTATACATAAAAATTAAATTAATCGTGCTCTTCAAAATGACATCGATTTTGATATATATTAAAAAAAATTGAGACTTTTATTACCAGTCCATACCATGTGATACTACTTGGGATGTATATAAGATTATACCATTTGGTATGAAAGTGTATCATGGTTGTATAAACCAATGTTTGAGAAACCCTATCGCACCGGCTGGTCGGACTGGAAATATCGAATACTGGAACCAAAACAGTAGAAAATTGTTAAACGATGGTGAAACCACGATGTTTGGTGTGTCAAAATTATGAATAGACTCAATACTTCGACATTCCGGACATCCATATCTCTCAAGTATTATAAATTTATAATCATCTTGTAGAACCGCACACAGGTAAGTTTAGGTATTGCCACTTTACATCCTAGTCAAGTTTTGGTTACGAGAATGATTACGATTTTAAAATCATGATTTGAAGATGATTCCCACCCAAACTCGTTGGTATCCCTAATAAATGCTTTATTCTAAGTCATATTTGATTTCCCATTTATAGAAAAGAGAATGACAATAGAATTTGTTAGATGATTAAGGGCTTTATGTAGTGAGCAGTTCCGGTCAGTAATCTGGTCAGTTACTAATCATGCTTAATGTTTTTCCAAATAAATTTAGTGAGCTATATTTTTCGGTTTCACTCGAAATTCAAATTCTCTTACAAAGAAAATCACATTAATCATGCTTTTCAAAATGGCATTCACTTTGATATAATTTAGAATAAAAAAATTGAGTCATATATTATCGGTCTATACCATGTTAAAGGGTGTCTTCAATGTGGTTACGGTTAACCACACTATTTAGGACGGTTACCCGTACCCCCTTTAGGAGCGAGCATGCGATTAACGATTACTCATTAACCGTATAATGCGGGAAGCAATTACTCGCGGTTATCTAGTAAAACCCGCATTACCTAAGTAGTTGTTAAAACATAATTGATAGTTCAACATCTTCTTGATTTCTCAATCATCCTCCGATTCCTCCTCCTTAGAAATATTTTGTTAATCCTTATCTTATTCGGTTGTTCAAATAGTTGTGGTTAACTATATGAATGTCTCTTATTCGGTGCGGTTAGTGGTTAACCGCATAACAAAAAATGGTCCATATAACTAACGGGGCCCATTGAAGGACCCTCTTATGCGGTGTGCGGTTAACCACTAACCACATGATTGTAGTTTGGTTTTGCTTGTCCTAAAAAAACAATACATCTATTTACAACCAAAACATTTTCCATCTTAAAGTATCATACATATTATTCTAGGGTGTTGTTTGCGTCTTCTTCTTGCCCCTAGTGACTACATTCAGATGAATATTCGGTTCTTCTCCCGCAAGTCGATTATTCGTGACTAGTTCACCGAGCTTGTCATTAGCCTCGGGAAGTTGTTCCTCATAGTTATCTTGTCTTTTGTTTAAATCGATGACATTTGTAAGGAAGATTTTGAAGGTTTGGTGTCTTCACCGAGCTCCATTACTAGCTTGGCAGAGGTCACAAGCTTAGAAAGCCTTTAGATGATCTGATGGAGGATTGAGCTTTTTTTCGAGCTTGAATTTCATTTCTATCAATTGGTCATCACAATTTCTTACCTTCCTTTTTTTAAGAGTATCGATATCCCTTTTGAGTTCGCCCGTTGATTGTCCAACAAAAACCTCTAATTATGGTGGTGGGTAATAGTTGCTAGTGGGTCGCGAGCAAGAAGGTCCCTTATTCTTTGTCCCATTTTGTTAGATGCCTTGATTGTGCAGCAGTCCTCAACTTTTCAGGCTTGATAGAGGGAAATGCGATCTTTGCAGTACATCCATTTGCTTAGCCATTTCTAAGACAATACCTAATTGCTTTCGCACTTCCTCCACATGATCTAGAGTGGCTACTGCTTATAGATATTTGGAATGTCTACCTCTAACTAGACGCTTGCTCCCACTAGCCACAGACGCATATTCTTTCATGGCTTCACCTTAGTGTATTGGGTGATATTCCCACTGGATGTTAAATTTTTATATATTGCAATTATCATCCACTCCTTTATATAGGATATCCACCAACTGCTCGAGGGATAATGCATGGTGGGGGAAAACTTACAACAATGCTTGGAGTATTTCCCAAGTCTCATGGGATAGTTCCTCCTCTCCTTGGGTGAACCTACCAAGATATTCTAGTTCATCGATTCTCCATGGATGAACGAATTTTTCTAGGAATGTTTGCAGAAGATCCAGGTTCGAAAAGTATGGGGTGGATGGTGATCAAACCATTCTTCTACTTCTCAAGCAACGGAGAAGGGGAAGAAGTGTAGCCTAGTCACGTCCATGTAAGCATATTGACCTTGTATTACATCACATATCTTTAGGAACAACGTGATGTGTTGTACAAGAACATCCTTCCCCCCCCCCCCCCCAAACAAATTAACCAACTTGTTGCATTAATTGGTGGTGGCTGGTAGGCATATAATGGATATGATTTTGGAGGCCATAGGTCATGTGTGTTCTAAAAGTATGGGCACACCCATCCTACTACCAATGTGTATGTCCGTCATAGTGGGTCGGTTTTCCTGAATTAGTAAGAGCAATGAGAACCACGTGAAAGTGGGTATGGAGAAGTAGTAAGGTGTAGGATGAAAGGTAGAATGAAGCACAAGTAGTAAATGATTTTAATGGAGTGCCAGAGTCCCCATGAGTCTCTTTGTAAAATTTGAGCCAATTTGGGCAACGATTGCTTAGTCTTCCGTTAATTTTTTTTTTATTATGGGCTCGCAGCAGTCATGGCAATGGGGTGGACTATCGCTGGTACTTCTCCTTCTGGTCATATACTTCTGCTTCCTTTAGGTCCATATCATCGTTTATATATCATATGAATTTGTTAAAAATATGCTTACTACAACATTTATTTGGTAAAATATGTAAACTATTAACTTCAAATATCTATCTTTGTATCATATTAACATGTCATTACCCATGGTTCATGGTATGTAACTATGTATTATTTGATGCTTTGATCTCTTGTTCTAGTCCACATTGTAATTTATCGGACCAGACCATAAATCCAGCCACCAACCATTCACCCAACTGTCCAGTGAGACCCAGATCTCAACACTAATGTTGTAAATCTTGTCACCTACTTCATTCACAAAACCCACTCTGCAAGAGATTAGATATGGATGCATCTTCATATGACATTCTATTAATATTTATGATGTTGATGGTAGTTGAGTTGCTCTGTCTTCGTTGCTTGTTATTTTCTTGAAACTATGGTATCGAAATTATGCATTAAAAGGAGACAAATATTTCTTTGTAAGCTATTGGTTTGATTTTTGGTGTAGTATACCAAATAAAATGTTCATTCTTTTCTCAAAATGATCGCCTGCCTAGTCTGGCCTATAGAACGTATATATGGTCTAGTCTGGACTCCATCACATTGTTTCCCAGCCTTTGGAGACGAAGAAACTAGAGACAAACAAATCATTTCACATTTCAATTCGAGTTTTTTTAGTTTATTTTTTTAATTTATATTGACATAAATGCGGGTTTTCTTCATTAATTAAATTTTATGTCACTGTAACAAAAATGTATAAAAGTATTCTTAAAGCACGATTTTGCTGCTTTTACGATCGGTGTTACTCGATTTTTCACATGAAACATTTTTTTTTTTACCTATGCTTTTAGGATTAAAGCCCCAATTATAGAATCCCTTCTAATTGTTAAATTGTTTTTATATAAATTTTATTTTAAAATGACCGCCGTATTCAAACTATGAATTATATATGCGTATATAATATATCTCTTTGAACCAACAAGAATGATAGATTATTGAGGCTTGAGAGTCCACAATGCAAAGAAATAGAAACACATAT